ATTACAACTTTGATTAACATCTTATTTTCAGCAGTAAGTTATATAAAAAAAACTAAAATTTCATAAAATCAGGGAAGACTTACCTGGATCGATTACTGCTCATTGAAACTTCACTTTAATATGACCGATTAGAAGAGTGAATGATTGTTTGAATCTTCAGAAGTGTAATAGGATTGTAGAAGAAACGATTCAGATTGAAGCAAAATTAGGAGCGACTAAGAGAGACTGAGAGAAGAAAACAGAACATTTAGTTTGAATTGGACTAGATGATTTTTATTTTGAATGGTCCATCACCTTCTAGAAAACCAGACGCTTCGTCTTCATCATCTTCAATTATTAGGTATGACCGCGTGGCTGGTGCTTGGATCGAGAAGTGGGAAGCTGCGAAATCAAATTCCAATCGACATCGAATTAGGTCTCAATGTTGATAATTGATAAGCGCTTTCGGCTGCCTTTTTTGAAATGGATTGGACTTTGGTAGTGAATCAATGTCCCAAATAAGAGAATATATATAACCGACATCAAAAGATTCATGCCCCTTCAGGATTTGTTGCCCTAGGCCGTGGCCCAGCTCGTCCTGGGCTTGGGCCGCCCCTGCAAGTTGATTTTTATATTATGAACTACCTAGGAAAGGTTGTACCCAAAACAAAAGGTGCTTGTGGCAAATGTTTAAAAGCCAAAAACATTTGTGGCAAAATTGTAAAGTATCATGCAATTTATTTTTATATAATGGTAGATTGAAGAAAAAACACTAACACAAAAAGAATAAAGCCTACCAGATTTCTAGAAAAAGCAATTTCTCATTTTTACAATAAATCGTTTTACGTGTCTTTTGCAAAAGTGTGTTATGCAATTTATTTTGCAGTTGGATTATGTTGATAAAATTAATGTCAGTAGCAAATGGGGATGTAGCTCAGATGGTAGAGCGCTCGCTTAGCATGCGAGAGGTACGGGGATCGATACCCCGCATCTCCAATTTCATGCTTTAATTTGGCATTCAGACTTTTTTCCTAAAAATTCATTTGTTCAAACGATTAATTGCAAAAAAGAAAAAAGGAGTTACTAACATGCTTCTCCAAATCACAGTAAACATATTCAAAATAATGGTAAATGCAGTAATTAAAAAATAACGGTATATGTAGTAGTTAAATTTTTTTAAAGTTTTTAAATTTTTTTTCATAATTTTTACTTATGTCAATTTTTAAATTCAAATAAATTTAATATACCAGTCTCACAATTAATTATAATTATATTGAGAATTCCAGCATCAATCTTAACCCAAATAAATAAATAGATTAAAGTCATTAAACATATCTACCTATTTAATTAAGCGGACTGAAACTTATCCTAAGAATGGGTTCGGATCTGATAGAAAAGATGGAAGGGATAATGACTTGGGAGGGTAATTAGGTTTCTTGTTTGTCCGCATTAGGTCACTTAGGTTTTTTTTGTGCGTATTAGACCATTATGGTCGTAATTACCGTTTACATTTAACCTTTTTTACCGTTTGCTTCTTGTTTAGCTTAGTTGGCAGCTTACGTGTCCGGTGGCATGCCTATAACAACCCCATCGAGTCCACCTCAAACAATGTCCTATTTTTCTTATGCCCTAAATTGAAGAGTTGAAGAAGAACAGAAGAAGATGTCGCAAGCCTCCATCGCCTCCACCTCAAACAACCGAATCATGTGCTACTGTGGGCTCCCGAGTCGGATTCGAGTCTCCACGACACCACAGAATCCGGGGAAAAGGTTCAGAACATGCCCTAATTCGTTGGTAATGGCCAATTTTGAAGATTGAAGCTTTTCTCTCTTTAAATCTCTGTTATAAGTGTGTAAGTTATGGCATTTATGCTAAAGTTTTGTTCTTTTTCATTTTTTTTATAGAGAGCAGGGAGAAAGTTGGATTTTGGGAATGGGTTGTTGAAGATCCGTACACAGAGGAGCTTTTGGGTCTTAGTCATGAGCTGAATGAAATGAAGAAGATGATGAAATGGCATAAAGTAGCTTTGATTGTCTTGTTTCTATTGTACTTTGTTAAATTATATTGAATGGAATTATGATGCAGTTGACATCTTTTGAATATAAAGGGTACCCATTATTTTGTTATTCTGATTGTAAGGGTACCTATAATGTAATGAAATCATATGTCTGAATGCAAATGAAGCTTTTGGTAATGAAAATTTTAATTGTAATGTATTGAAATCTAAATGCTATTATAGTGAACAACCAATCTCAGTGTAATGCAAAAGCAGTAATTATAATGAACAACCAAGAATCAGTTAAAAGTTTTAAAGGAGAAAATATATTAAAGGAAGAAGCAGTAATTGAAGGCAAAGTACATCTGTAAAGCGCATGATTCAACAACCAAGAATCAATTTAAAGATTTAAAGCAAAAAATATATTAAAGGGTAATATTGTCATAGCTACAAACACCCTTAAAAAGGTGTCCCATTAAGCATCAAAATAGCATCAAAAGCTGGATAGTTTTGTCCCTTAGTCTAGTACAACATTACATTTAATATCAAAAGATTCGACCAACACATGCTTACCTAACATTTACACCCCACATGCATACATAACAAAAAAAAGAGTTCAACATCAAACCTACAATCAACCCAAATCTACAGGTTTGTTTGAACTACAACCACTACCATCCTTGGGCACCACTTTTTTCCTCAGGCATTGTTTGATGATTCTTTCTGAAGCTTTCCTCTTTCTCAATTGAACTTCACTTTGAATGGTCTTGCAGAAGTGGATCTTGGAGTTACAGGAGTGGATCTTGGTCTTGGAGTTGCAGAAGTGGATCTTGGTCTTGGAGTTGCCGGAGTGGATCTTGGAGCTGCAGAAGTGGATCCTGGTGTTGGACTTGGAGCTGCAGAAGTGGATCCTGTGTTGCACTTGGAGCTGGAGTGGAAGATCCAGGAACCGGATCACCTGTTGTTGGAATTCTTTTTGTTGGGCACCCATTTTTTTTATGCCCACTAACATAGCATATTGAACACCTTTGCACCTGCTTTACTCTTGATACTGTGTGTCTGCTTGATATCTCCCTTTCTGCTGTACTTTTCCTCCTCTTAGTAGATGGCCTACCAGGTAGCCTTCTACTCTTTGGGGGTAAAGGTTTGGTGTACTCACTTTGTGTCCATAAAGAGCTATCATTCAAAGGATGAATAATGTATGCATAGCAGGTGAGATAAGTTGCCTTACTGTAACAGTTAGCTACATAATCCTCTGAGTTTAAGTTCATGGATGAAATTGCAGCCACTCCATGTACACAGGGTATTCCAGTCAACTGCCATCTCCTGCATCCATAAGTCCTTCTGATCAGGTCAACTGCATACCTGTCATTACATAATACCACCTCAAATTGTTGATACCCACAAGGGTACACAGCCCAGAATCTGTACATAAACATAAAACAGGTAAGAACACATAAACACATGTATAAATATTAACAAGTAAATACAAACATTCTTACCTTTGTTTCTCCTTCAAATCTCCTATTTTCTTCCTAATGCTTGGGCATATAGTTAAATCCCAAGCCTCTCCTTTACTCCTCTGATGGTATAACCTCTGCATCACATAAACCCTTATATCCTCCAACATTGCTATTATTGGTTTATGTCTAGCCTGAACTATTTCAACATTAAAACTCTCTGAAATTCCATTTTCCACAGCATCACAAAATACTCCTTCTACTTGAAAAGCCCTGCAATAACATTTAGGGTCCCTCTCCATGAGATAATCAAATGCCCCCTGTCTAATTCCTTGATCTCTTGCATAGCAGCTTCATGTCTCTGTTTTGTAGTAGCCTTCACAGCTCTCCAAAATGGCTTGATAAAATGCTCACCTTTGAACCTTGTGTTAAAGTTGGCTAGTATGTGCCTAGCACATAATCTATGCTCAGCATGAGGAACCCTTTCTTTGATAGCTTCAATTAAACCCTGTACAATTTACAATATTAATTAATAATTAAACTATAAAGTTAAGAGTAAACATGAGTGGTACCTTGTGTCCATCTGATATAAGAGTAAGCCCATTTCCACTGCCTCTGTTAATATCATCCATGAGTAGATCAAGAAACCATTTCCAAGTGTCTTTGTTCTCAACAGTCACAACAGCCCAAGCTAGTGGGAACATGCTGTTATTGGCATCCCTACCCACAGCAGCTAAGAGTTCACCCTTGCAAATTCCTTTGAGAAAGCACCCATCAATCCCAATGATTTGTCTACACCCTTCTACCCAACCATCTCTTACACCTTTAAAGCATACATACAACCGTTCGAAAATTAGACTTCCATCAAGGGTATGGTCAACATGCATACTCACAGTTGATCCTGGATTAGCTCTTTTGATTTCTATGCCATAGTCCCACAACCTACTATAATGCTCTTTTAGAGTGCCTTCTATCTCAGACAATGCAAACTTTTTTGCATTTCTACATTGTCCAATGCTAACTATGATGTTGTATGTGCTTGAGATTTGAGCTTTCATCTTCCTCAAACTAAGCCTGGGGTTTTCTAGAAGTACATTGAAATATTGTTTCCCTGTCCACTTGTAATTCACTAAGCCTATTTTAAAAACTCTACCACAATTGTGACTTGATTTAAGTGACTTAATCTGAAAAGTCCTTTCCTCTTGCATCCAAGAAGCCCACAACCGAAAAGGACATGAAGGTTCTTTGTCTTTGCAACACTTCACTAGAAGTCTGTTTTTATCATTCTTTTCATACCACAAATCATAACCATGCTTAACAGCATAGTTGGTAAGACATTGTTTAAGTTCAGTAGGATTGGTGAATTTCATACCTAACACAGGAGCCATTTCATCCCATTGTTGCTCAGAATTGTGCACAGGGTATACATGTGGTAGTTGCTCAACATTAGAATCTTCTTCCTCTTCAACATTTGGACAAAGTTTGTTCAAAAACCTGTCTTTATTCTGAATAGTTGTTGTTGCCCTTTTCATTGAAAAATCCTCATCATCCACCTCGTGTTCCCATCAGTCTTTATCTATTAACATTGAATCAACATCTTCATCTGCTTTGGAGTTGGTATCATCTTCAATTCCAGGCTCTTCCATTTCAATCCAGTCGAACAAGGGTTCATGCATATGGTCCACATACAGATTTACTTTCTTTTTCTCATGGAGACACTCATGAAATTCGTGGTAATCACATTCGTTATGCAATGCAGCCAATCCTTGACACAATGTTTGCCCATCTGGACAATAGTATACATCTTTGCATATTCTTCTAGTAATCACGTTGAGGTGCGCAATGAATTCAGCATACCCCATCTCCCTGAAATCGGCGTACATTATCTCCTTTTTATCTGGATCAAAATAGATTAGTGGTTTCTTGATGAACATCCCATTGTACCATACTTCAACGACCGGTGTATCAGTTTCAGCCATTTGATTGTGGATTGATCGAAGTAAGAACAATGGGTGGGGACGATTGAGTGAGAGTGAAGAGAAAGTGATTGGGATTCGTCTTGCCCTAATTTAAGGAGACCTAATATACATTAAGTGCCACCTAATTATCCACGTAATGGCCTAATAACCACGTAACACCCGTATTCACTTTGTAACCGGTTAAACAAGAAGCAAACGGTAAAAAGGATTAAATGTAAACGGTAATTACGACCATAATGGTCTAATACGCACAAAAAAAACCTAAGTGACCTAATGCGGACAAACAAGAAACCTAATTACCCTCCCAAGTCATTATCCCAAGATGGAATGATGGATCCCTTTTTGTCCCTTATTGTAAAAAAGATAATGAAAAATGCATTTTCTCATGTGCACAGTGCATGTCATTAAAGTGTTAAAGGGATGTGAAACCTCTCTTCTCTATTTTCTTAGTTCATAAAGTGTTAAAAGGACGTGGAACCTCTCACAAAGACAATTTCTACATATCAAGTAGTCATTTTTCAACATAAATTGGAAGGAAATACTTGACTCTTGTTTTGATCCCACTTTGGCTGACTGATATGGATGTACTGTATCGAACAAATCTGTAAGATATTCAAAACCAGTATATTCGAAATCAACTCGGCTCAAGTCAAGTCAAGCTTGAGCTTGAGCTACTCACGTACATTATATTATCGAGTCGACCTTAAGTATTGGAATATTGGACTCTTGAAGCTCACGAACATCTAGCATTGTTATATTTATATATTTACCCTTTATTTTATTCATATTTATATATTGTAGAAACGAGTCAAGTCGAGTCGAGCTCACAAGCTTAATCACATTTTTATTGTGATTTAATTTAATTTATTTTTTTAGTAGTTAATTAAGTCAAGTCGAGCAGAGCTGGAAACCACGATTACTTTATCGAGTTCAAGTTCAAGCTTTGAAATTAAGGCTCGGGTTGAGCTTGATTCAAGTTTCGAACTCGAGTTATTTAGTCCGGTCGAGTTTCGAGCTTGATAATACTCGACTAGGCTCAATTACACTGACCGTTTTCGAGAAAAAATGAAAAAATTGAGATAGTTATGAATTCCATTGAGTTTCCCTTATTTGATCGAACAACTCAAAATTCAGTTATTTCAACTACATTAAATGATCTTTCAAATTGATCAAGACTCTCTAGTTTATGGCCGCTTCTCTATGGTACCAGTTGTTGCTTCATTGAATTTGCTTCACTAATAGGCTCACGATTCGATTTTGATCGTTATGGACTAGTACCAAGGTCGAGTCCTAGACAAGCGAACCTTATTTTAACAGCCGGAACAGTAACAATGAAAATGACCCCTTCCTTAGTAATACCTCCATTTAGATTTTTTTTACCACCGTCAAGATGGAATAAATGAATAATAGTAATCATCATTTGTTATAAAACTTGAAATCTCAAAAAATCTTTGATATTATGATGGTCTAAATCTCAAAATAAATAAATAAAATCTATCTTGATGTAACCTTTAAGATGCCTCATTGTTCGTCGTTCTCATACTGATCGAACCATTACCTTTCATCATCATCATCTACTTCACCTATCCCCCATCCACAATAAGATGTGATACCTGACTATGGTATCACAATGGAATCTAATCTTTATTTTTTTATTTTTTTTTTCTTTTTGAAATATTGATATCATTAAATTAAAATGAAAGATGAATGAGATAATGATATGTCGTTGTTGCATGACAAGACGATAGTTGGAAATAAAAGAAGAAACATGAGTATATCAATAGTAGCCTAACCAGTAACCACCACCTCCATTATATAACCTAATCATCCTTCAACCAAGAGAGCCTCATAATCAAAATTGCGGTATTCTCAAAACTAAAAAATCAATTTGGTACTACTTATTAAACATATTTAGATTTATCGTCAAAACAGATTACATTTCAACTCTTATTTATTTCAAAACATTCTTTGAAAGGATACCCGTGAAAATCCCTCGCAAAGAATATTTATAGGAAAAAGTATACCTCTTATAATTAATTAAATTACACAAAAAAAAAAAAAAAAAAAAGACAAAAGACAAATATTTTTTGTTTTTTTGGGGAAAAAGAAGCAGAATTGATTACAAAGTCAACTGCTTATCTCATCGTCCTCTCTGCGCATCAAGCTGCCAACCGCACATCCTAATTTTAAGCTGCAATTCCGTCACCGCTGCTAAAAACCTCAAGTTTTGCACCGGCGTTAATATCTCCACCACCTTCTCTGCCGTTCTCGTCCTCAACATATCCGCGTTCGCCACAACCACCTCCATCTGCGCCCTCAACGTCTCAATCACCGATTCCATTTCATCATACTCCCCATCCACCAGCGGATTACCCCCTCTCCTTGCAATCTCAACAATCGGCGGTGCCGCTACGCTTTCCTGAATCCTCGCCAACTCATTATCCAATTCCCTCTCATCCGCCTTCGTTTCCGCCTTCAGCCTCTCCATTCTCTCCACCTGCGCCGGACTCATATCCCCAACCGTACTACCTACAATTCGAAAGGTTAATACTGGCTTGAATCCAGCAATCCAGAAGAAACTCCGTTCAAACGACGAGAACCACGGCGGAGAGAACACTAACGACACATCATGATTCGAGATTCGAGATTTCTCCTCGTAGTACTGCTGGTAATGCGAGAGAACACGAGCGATCAAATCACGGAGATGTTCATCATCGGAGCTATGATCAGAAGTTCGTAAATTCGATCGAAGCTCATCCAGGTAATGCTCCTGACGAACTAACCATCCTTGGAAGAAATTCTCGAACTCTCTTTCACTTGTGACGACTGTTCTTCGAGATTTGGGCGACATCTTGAGTGATTGATGTCGTAAAAATCACAGGAATTTTTTTGATTTGAGCGACGGAAATTTATAAGGTGGCGATGGAGTTGGATATTTTGGGTGATATTCAGGAATTTTCTAGAAGTTGTGTGAGTACAATTGGAAGTTGCATGCGAAGGTGACAGATGGAAAAAACCCTGGTTAGGGGGAAATCAACTGTGAGTGACACCTAAGCGGAAAAATCACATGAATTTTTTTGACCACCAGCCCCCTTTTTATTTTTAATTGGATTCTGCTTAGTGCTTATGGAAATGGAAACATAAAATTAGCTATTTATTTGTTATGGAATCTCATTTTATTTTATTGTAAATTTATTATCTACTTGGTTTTTCACATCATAAAAAGTTTTTGAAAGAAAGATTATTGGAGATCTTCTAAGAGGATATCATGTATTATTTATTTGTCATTATTGAAGTCATAAACTCATGCATCAAGATTCAAGGCATATGTTCTTCATGCTCTATATGACTATATACTATAAACTTTTGTAGATAAAAATAAATGACAATGAGTTTTATTTGTTATGAACTTATTATGGTTTAATTTAGGTTTTGTAGCATTTGTTTAGGATCTCGTGAAAATTGGCATAATTTTAAAAGCGACTGAGGCCATGTGGCTAGGCGATCGAATTTGTGACATGTATATGTATTATTTTTTGTGATTATTGAGCTACACTTTTCCAGACTTACTATTATTCTTAGTAAAAAAAGAATATTCTAGATAGAACACTAACATGCAAGTTGCAACCCAAAAAGGGTGAGATGTGTCATTAGTCATTACTTACGAAGGACAAAGGGCGTACAACATTATTGACCAAGTGCCATTTTACTTTATTTTTTTAATTAGTGCCACAAGCACCCTAATCTCGATACGCACAAATTATTATTACTATAAATAGAAGGAAATATGCAGAAAACATTTATTTGAGAAAAAAAGTTTGATAAACTTCTAAAAAAAATTAATAATAAGATTCTGTATATTTCCCTCGATATAAATAAAAGCTTTAAGTTTTTTATACAAGTTTTTAAACTTATTATATTCATACTTTGTCATATCACATAGTATTCAACAAGGATTATATCATTTAAGTAAGAAAACACTACAAGAATTTCGACTTTTAGTGGAGGCATTTCTCGTTTCAAAAGATGAATTACGTGGAATTCAACAATGATCATATCATATAAATAAGAAAAGAGCTACAAGAATAACGATTTTTAGCGGCGACACCTATCGTTGCAAAAGGTGATTTAGCATATTTTTTATAACTTTTTTTTTTGCTATCTAAGGCATTTTATTTTATTTTAAATTTTCTATTATAACATTGTACTTTAAATATTATATTATTTTTTTATTATAACATTGTATTTTTTATATTTTTTGATTTTTTTCTATTATAGAATTGTACTTTTAATATTGTATTTTACATATTATATAGTTTTATTTATTTATTTATTTTGTGAGTTATAGTATCTTTTTTTCATGATAGCATTGTAATTTATAAATTAAGGTCATGATATATATATATATATATATATATATATATATATATATATATATATATATATATATATAATACACAAATATATTCCAAATTGCATATAAATACATATATACATATATAATTTTCTATTTTCATATATACATTATACATACTAATACAGAATACACACACAATACACGTATACATAAACATATATACATACATAATTATCTTTTTTCCATATATACATCATGCATACAAATGTATATACAAATACACATGCAGACACAAAATATATAGTATACATATGAAAAAAAACAGATTATATAGAACCTATGGTGGCGTAATCCGGCGGAGAAGGATGGTAGTGGCAGTGCTTCGACAGTAGAACCGATATTCTGGTAGAAAGTTAGAAATTTCGGCAGAGGGCAACAACATTGACATATAACTGATAAAATCTGACAAAATCGACGAGTTTGGTCATTGGGAATCAGAGAAGTGAAAGAAAATGAGAATGAAAAAGAAAAAAGATAGGTTTCACACGGATTGGTCACATGTCATTGTCGGTACTATCGTGGAAGTGATGAGCTACCTCATCGCCAGAGTATTGATAGGTTGTAGATTGTGGCCTTTGTCGGT